AGGATAATACCTACTTGATCAACTTTACATAGGTGTTGGGACACTCAAATGAGGATAGGTCTTCAGAAGTGCTTTGAAACGTATCGCAGGCCTGTGAAAGTGTTGAGATAGTCAATGCAGAATTACTGACCGGTTAAACAATTTCCTGGATGTTGTTGGTGCTTCTCTTCATTCAAGACTGGGCAGTGGTCCTTCCTTTGCTTCTAGTTTGCTTGCCTGTGCTGGGGAGAAGCTAGCCCTAGATTGCCATTTGGGGAGCAATAGGACAACAGCAGTATGTGTGAGCAGAGATCAAAAGCAAAGTGCTGCAGAAAGTGTCAAGTCAACCTATTTAACGTGTTGTCTTCTACCAGCAACTTATTATGCAAGATAACCAGTTTTATGTACCTGTGGAATTATAACAAGTTAAGAAGGCAGGCATGTTACTGGAGAGTTTGGGTTAAGCAAGCAGAAAGTACAGAAAGCAGTGTGTGTGTGTGTGTGTGTGTGTGTGTGTATATATATATATATATGTCAGTTCTTGGCTTTGAATTATAGTTTTAAAAAATTGTGTAAGAGAAACAATATCTACAAGCCAACCTCACTGAATAAACAGCAAGATAAAAACAATGAACAATTATTAAATCAATCCTATATTTAACAGCCACTAAGTAATAATTCAGGATGTTCATTTCTGCATGGTGATCCCGTGAGGCTGGGACAAGCACATGGGGAGGGTTCTTGGCTGAACATTAGAATCACTTGGGGAACTTAGAGAAAAATATTTATGCCAGGGCCCACCCTGGCATGATCTAATTTGCCTGGGGCGGAGCCTGGGCATTTTGTTTGTTTTAAGTTCCCCCACGTGATTCTAATGTGCCTGCAAGTTTAGAAGATCAGAGAATGAGAAAGTGAGTTATTGGACTGGAAATGACCAGTTAGCCTGCTTTACTGGAGCAGGGGGCTGTGGACTGGAGATTAATAAAAGGCAGATGAATCCACCATGGGACGTCATAATTTAGTAGGAAATAAGGCTATGAGAATTGCTGTTGAAAAAGTTCTGACTGATCTCCGTAGTTAAGTTAGGACCTCTAGAGGCTGTGGGAAAAGCAGCATTCAGTTCAGCTGTGCCCACCGCAGGCGCTGTCCAGACACCTGGTCTGTGAAACACGGGCAGGATCCTGGATGCTCACAGATGGGAGCCGCACGGGTTCCTGCGCTGTACCCTGACTTCTATTGTGGTGACGCTAGCAGTTTGCTGAAGAATGAAGAGGGACCGTGGTGATGTCATTACCAGCTTGGATTTAACCATAACATGTGGTTTCACACCCTATTTGTGGCATTTAGAAAAACCAGTATTATTCTGTATGCGCTCCGGACTTCATTTTGAATGAATTTTGGCCATTTTTAGTAATCAAATCCACACTTAAAAATCGAAGGGATACCCATTGAGAAGATTCAAGAGAACATAGTGCAATTGTTAATTCCCAACACAAAACCTGTCTGCACATACAGGGTTTCTAAGCCCCAGGTACCCATTGCGGTAGAACTCTTGAGTAGCTAACTCGCTTAGTCACTCAAGCAATTACATGTTTATTAAGATTGAGCAAAGTACCACACAGTCATTAAGAACTGAAGAAAAGCCAACAAACTTCACTTGTCTACTGTGTCAAGACTTGTGAAAAAGGTGATGAAATGCCTGTTAAAGTAGGCTGAGAATAAACTCAGGAGGGAAAAAGTAGTATTTTCTCTAAACTTTCTGAAAAGCAGGAATTTTCAGAAGTTAGTGGGAAAGAGGGAAAATGTATGTGTGCGGGTGTGTATGTACATGCACATGCACACTTAAGTTTGAATAAAAATATTGGCAAAGGGTGGATCTGAAAAGGCAAGCATGTTGAAAACTCATTAGCAAGAGCAAACTGACCTAAAAACTGTGTGATACAATATATTGTACTGTGATCCCCACATCAACACTTTCTCCCTCTTCCATTGTCTGATTTTGTCACACTTAGGATGCCAGTGATTTGGCCACCTACAGGTTACCCTTCCTTTGGACGTTGACATAACTTAGATCCTCAAGTGAAGACAGGAAGTTGGAACCACAGACATGCCAGTGGGTGAGGGGAGCTGAAGCTGCTCTCCTTTCTCCTTCCCATGGATTACACTGTTGTCCTTATTAAGCCTGCTTGTTAAATTAGGCATGGGAGACACCGAGATAGCAGTGCTAATCTGGTTACCCTGTTCACTTAGCTGAGTGAATCTGGAGGTTTCCTTTCTCAAATAAAGCTTGCAGTTGTTGGTGGGGCATGGAGTACACGGGAGCACCAGGAAGACTTAAGAAACGATGGACACATGTATTGGGTTCTCCAGAGAAACGGAACTAAAATGATATACAGAGATATATGAAAGGAGATTTATTCTAGGAATTAGCTCATGTAATTATGGAGGTCAAGAAGTTCCATGGTCTGCCGTTGCAAGCTGGGGAACCAGGAAAGCCAGTGGTGTAAGGCCCAAGAACCAGGACAGTTGGCATCCAAAGGCAGGAGGAGATAGATGTCTCAGCTCCAGGGAGGAGCTAATCTGCCCCTCCTTGGCCTTTTTGTTCTATTCAGGCCCTCAAGGGATTGGGTGATGCTCACTCACATTTGTGAGGGCACCTTCTCCAGTCTACCAATTCAAATGCTAATTTCTTCAGGAAACACCCTCACAGACACACCCAGAAAAGTGTTCTACCAGCCAACTGGTCATCCCTTGGCCCAGTCAAACTGATGCAAACAATTAACCATCACGACACATAAGTGTTCTGGCATTTCTGCATCCCCTCTCCTCTGGCCTCTCTCACATCCTCTGGTTCAGCATCTGTCACTTCAAATACCCTGTCCAGAGCCATAGCTATAGAATTCCTACTGAGGAGATGAAAAGCAGCTCCCTCCTGAGGCATGGAGGGGCAGTCCTGGGTCCTTCCCTTTCAGGAGATGTTTATTAACGATGATACTTGACATCTTATAATCCACATTACCCAGCTGCTGACTCTGCTCCTCAGTAATTCAGGTAACTGCCTCACAATTACCCAGTGATTCAGAGAAACGAGCCTAGTGACCCGGCAGCTCTCCCAGGACAGGATCTCTCCCTCCCTAGCACAGCTCCCAGCCGCGCCAGTCCCTCAGTCACTGGAGTACCCATCAGAGGGTCCACGGCCAGTGCAGCTACAACAGCCCCCTCCCCACACCCTTCTTGTTTTCCTTCTGGGAGGTGTCCCCTAATCCCCGCATTCACGTCTCCCCCTGCCGCAGCCACTAACCCGTTTCTGTGGCCTGTGGTTGCTAGGCATGGCAGTTATGAAAACATGCTAGTACAGTGCAACTGTGCATTTAAATTCTGTTTGAGTTGAGTCGCTTTGCGCATGTCATAGCAGTGAACACGGCCTCTGGCCCTGGGCAGCCACTCTGGCTGCAGGGGTTTCAAGTGTGGCTGGCTTTGTGAAAATGCACCCTCTGTGAAGGGAGAAACGTGCAGCGGATATGCTATGATGGTGACTTACTGTGTAAGCCAGTTATTATAACTAGTATTATAACTAGTTTAATGCTTAAGGGGAGTAGTTTTAACTGCTTTTTACTGAAAAGATGGCTTAAACCTTTGGGGCTAACCCAGCCTCTCCCACGTTTAGGAAAGCGGGATGATTGATGGTTCGTGGGTCAGAATGTGTGCTCTGATGTGTGTCACTCGTGGAAATGAATTTACCTGGAACTTTTCAGACTCTGCTTATCTGGTTCCCCTAAGAACAGTGGACATGATATTTACAAACAAGGGACAGCCTGTGGCCAGGGAATGGAGGGAAGGAGATCACTAGCTTCTGGGAACATAACCTTCACCAGCCTGTAAGCTCCTTGAGGATAAGACGGTCCACAAGATACTCATTCTGTATCCAGGAAGGATGCCTAACAGAGAAAGCACTTGATAAGTGTTCTGAATATGTTGCTTTAAGCACATGTCTCACTTGGGGGGATAATGCCCTTTATTTTACTAAGTGCAGTGAGACAAAAGGGTACCCGTCTGGGGTGATTCTGCGGCAGGTCTTCCTCTACACAGGGCAGTAAGTAGCTCTGGAGATCTCTGTCTTAAGAAGATAGGAACCAGTCATCTAGGAAAGCAAAGTAGATACAATTTTAAGGATAATTATAAGATTTATCTTTGGGGAGTAACTACCTTTGTTGGGTGCCTGCTATGTGCTAAGCACTGATCTCATCTCATTTGACTGTACCACTGTGGAGTAGACATTATTTGCTTCATTTCTATTTGGAGAGACTGACGGAAACTCAGAAGTTAAATTGCTCACAGTCACAGCTAGAGCGCTGTGATTTTGGAACTTAAACTCAGGTATATGCAAATGCAAAGCCCACCATCTAAGTGGTACCTGGCACATAGTAGCTGCTCAGTAAATATTTGTGGAATGAATGAGTGAATTTCCCCGCCCTCACCCTATCTTCTGCATCAGCCTACCCGAGCCTTCCCCTGGTTCCTCCTCTGATTTGGCTTAATGTTTCAAAGTGATGTTGACCTACATTTAAAGGTTTTGGAAGAGGCTGCTGCTGAAATGCGGTGCGCCTTACCTGGGAGGAGGAGTACGGCCCTCTTCTGACACATATTAGCCCAGATCCCTTCTGTAGCATCCAGACCAATGCGAAGGCCTGGAATTGGTCCTGGTGTATTTGGACTGGGGAGGGAGAGTGGGAGGTCAAGCCTGCAAAAGCGTGAGGGAAGGGCAAAGGCCAGAAGATAGAGTCCACAGACACAATTAGTCTTGCAAATTTTTCAAAAGGGTCAGGCACCATTTTCCTTTGGGATAGCCCAATACATATTTGCAGAATTAACAGAAATCGGGACCTGGCATTGTCTGGGACTTTGGGGCAGGCCATCCCACACGGAGGGCTCTGACGAGCATATCCTCCCAGGGCCACTTTGGGGGCGGCGGTGGGAGTGGCCTGGGCCCCGAAGTGGCCCCCGCCGGTCCCCGCAGGCGGGCAGGAGCTCGGAGACCATTGGCTGGCGAGCTGGCTGCGCAGGGGCGGGGAGCGCCGCCGAAGGGGACTGTTTGCTCCTACGGGCTGTAGATGGAGCTGTCCGGCCCCGGCGAGGGGGAAGGCGCCTGGAAAACGTTCTTCTCCCTGGCCGGCCCGAGCGGGGAACAGCACTCCCAGGATGCAGTTTGTGTCAACACGGCCGCAGCCTCAGCAGCTGGGCATCCAGGGCCTGGGGCTGGACAGCGGGAGCTGGAGCTGGGCCCAGGCTCTGCCCCCGGAGGAGGTCTGCCACCAGGAGCCGGCGCTGCGCGGGGAAATGGCCGAGGGAATGCCGCCCATGCAGGTGGGTGCACCCCCGCCCAGCGCCATGGCCGCGCCGCCTGGCCGTGGGGGCGGGGCGCG